AGAGGGATGCGGGTGGGCAGTCAGCGATGCGGATGTTGCGGCTGTCTGCTGCTGCTGCGTGTGTGTTTGTTTGTGTGTGTCAGTGCGTGTGTGAAAAAGAGAGCGGCAGTCAGCCTCGCCTGTGCTCTGTGTTGCTATCTTGCTGGCTAACACCCCCCCATCCCCTTGCTGTTTTGCTCTTTCAGGACAGTGATACACAGATGTTGGTAGACGCAAGCAGCCAATCCTCTTAGAGGAAAGGCAGAGTGTGCGTGAGAGAGAGAGACAGAGACGGGGAGAGATAGATAAAGAGCGAGAGAGAGAGAGAGAGAGAGAGAGGGGGGGAGAGAGAGATAAAGAGAGAGAGAGAGAGAGAGAGGGGGGGGAGAGAGAGATAAAGAGAGAGAGAGAGAGAGAGAGAGAGAGAGAGAGAGAGAGAGAGGGGGGAGAGAGAGATAAAGAGAGAGAGAGAGAGAGAGAGAGAAGGAGGATGGAAAACCATAGATAGTACGGGGGTGTCAGAAAAAGGAGGAATGATGGGAAGGAGGTAGGGACAATGACAGAGGGAGGAGGGATACTGGAGTAATTAAGATGGAAGAGACAAAAAGGCAAGATTGCAATGTTTCCTGATGACTGTTGTCCAGTTCTCTTTCGTAACAAGGTTTGACTGAGCATGCTGCAAGCCAGCCTTGACCAATCAAAGCAGAGAGAAACATTGACAGGCAGTCAGCATCATTGAACAGCCAGGAATGATAACTGGTTAATGGTATCACTGCCTCATGTGTCCACATATACAAACATTCTGTTCTTACCAAGGTTAAAGTATGAAGTTTGTACTACTCTTAGATTCTGTTGAAACCTACTATTCATACAATGATGATGAAATACTGTATGTACCACGTTCCGACTGCATAGTACGGTAAGTGGATTTTGTGTACGCAAGAAATTAAAGTATGAGGTTTGAGCTCACTGGAAATAACCTAACCCATAAAATGCATTGTTTCTCTTTAAACGCGATGGCGTTTGCCAGACAATTAACATAATCGGTTGAATCATCATTTATGACAATTGAAGGCGACTGACGTTCGGAACGGTTTAGAGAAAAAACCTATCTATGATATGTAATTTGGAAAAAATATTTAACAACATACAATTCATCTAAAGAGTAAGTGTAGGGGAATTCTCATCTTTATACCATTTAAACTTGTTTAGTTAGGCACTGTATATAACATGAAGTTGAACATGCAGCTGTTTTCCCTCCCAAGTCAAGTTTTTACAAAATTCTGATATTGATATTTGGGAATAAAAAAAAATCTGATTTATAAATTGAGCAGCAACAAATCGATTGTTTTACACCAACAGCAGAAATAGATGGCTATGTGTAAGGTGGTAAAATGACAGCAGTGACATACTATATGGTGGTGCTGCAATGAAATGGCAATTAAATTATTGTTTTGAATTATGTTAAGATTGCATGAAGTAGCTCTTGCAGATTAGCCTAGGGAATAAAATGGATGCCAAAAGTCAAATACTGAAGTAAAATATTTGACTAGCTTGAGAGATTTATTTGAGTTAAAGAATCTAGCTCTTTCATATAAAAAAATGTCAGTGTTTAACCACTTGTATCGTGTTTATCTCCTCCTTTGTGAACACCAGTATGGTTTGGTTAATTCTTGGCTAATCATTTAGTGTCTGACTATTAAACAATCGTAAAAAATAAATGGTTTCCCTCTCCTCAAACACTCATATATTCCCTTGGCTGTCCTTTACGCTTGTCTGTCCAGAAGAAAGGTATGATGGCCATCATGGCAATGATTCTATGGTTGGGTGACTAATAAGAGTGGAAGTGCAAGTGGATAATTAGGGTCATCATGTAATTCCCTCGATGAACTGCGGAAGTGCCACAGGACATGAAAACGGGTGAGGGAGGGAGAACAGAGGCAGGGGGAGAGTAAATGAGAGTTGGGTGGGGAGTGGAAAGCGCATAAGATAAAGTATCATGAAAAGCTGCAGCTCACAGGAGAGCAACCAAGCACAGGATGGCCTGGTTCACATTAACAGACAATTACAGTCTAATCTCAAAGGAAGAGAACTATAGCAGAGAACCACTGCAGGTCTATTCCTGTCGGCAGCTCCTGCTTACTACACCTATCGCAGAAAAGTCAACCAAATCGGATTTTTCAAATGCTCTCATACTGTAACTTCAAGTTTTCTGTGTATACCCCCCACTTACTGGTACACCAAGCAGCTGAACTCCATCATGGTTACTAAATGAAATTTGACCGAGGTCGGCACTTTATTATTCCAAACTCCTGCAACCTCATCTCTTCTTACTCAAGAGAAAGTACTGTGAAAAATGTCAAGGAATACTGTTTGTTGACCCTATTTCTCACATATCTCATTAGGTTCAACGTTACATCTACCTGCTGAGGGATTATGGGAGGTTTATGGGCAAACTAAACATGACGCAGATAGTTTCTGTTTAAGTGTTTAAGCTGCAGAGGAGGCCGGATAAACAGTTTTTGCTAGATTAAATATCAATTTAGAGAGAAATAGAACCGAGAGAGGTGTGAGTGCAAAGTGTTTTTTGCTGTGCAACTCATGTTCAAGATATGAACATCTATTCAAATGCATGCCCTTCAATAACAATGGGGATATGTTTGCCATAAAGCAACACACTTTTATTCAGCTTAACATACAAATATTATGGACATGACACACACACACACACACACACACACACACACACACACACACACACACACACACACACACACACACACACACACACACAGTTTAAGGGTCACAGTTCACACAGTGGTGTCTCCTTGACACAGCTGGGGTTGATCAAATAAATAACTCTTTTGAGAGAATGTATGTGTGTGTGTGTGTGTGTGTGTGTGTGTGTGTGTGTGTCAGTAGTTTTCATGCCAGGCATACCTGTCCCCCCAGCATCAAAGCCTCAGTCATGCGCATTATCACAGCATAGAATTCCCATAATATTCAATTTCATGGCATTTTTTGTGTCGACAACTTTACCTTTATGGTCTACTACGAGCTCATTTTTTTAAAAGGAGTTCATTATTCTTGAAAGACATGTTTGTGCAGGTGTTACACACGCCTGACTTCAGATTTCTCCTTTTCCTGTACGACCACTTTTCTCTATTCTTTTGAAGTTCGGGCAAATTCTACAGAAAAATGTATAGCCACATAAGAAATGACTCAAAACCTGTCGGGTCTACACTTATGCCATTATCTTGAAATGTAGTTCATCCGGCCTTTTTCTTTCATCTCTTTCCAACATTTTCCTTTAAGTGTTACAGGTTAATTCTAAAGACAAAGTGGAACTCTTAAGTCATTCCTTACTACTCTTTCTCTCACTTTCATCGATGGTAACATTGGTAGGAATAAAATAAATGTCTGACACTTGCAACTGTACCTTTTCATCACACTGGATAATAGCATTAGCTCTGTAAATATATGTGAGCATGTAGTTCAAGTGTGACGCCTCTTTTTGATTTTGAACTGCATGGCTTTGACTTTCCAGGAATAGACAGGAACAAGGGATCTGTTTGTCCGTTAAGGGATACGCTCATGCTATTGTGATTTCTACGGTTAGACAAGGAGAGAGGGCAAGCCCACAGATAAAGAGATAATATTCCAGCTAAAAGGTTACAAGTTAAGCAAGATAGGCCATCATTTCCAACTGTTATAACATGTCAGGAAACTGTCTCAACTTATTTTAAAACACAAGCCTGCTTATGCCATTCAATGGTATTACCTTAAATGCTGAGTTTGCCTATTATTCAATCTTTATTTCAGACTCAAGGTTCATATCACATACAAAAAGACAAGACACACATCAATAAATAAGATCAAAAGGTAAACACAAAACAGATGACAACATCAAATCAGTCCAATCACAGCTAGCCACACATGCTCACTGTCTGTATAGGCTATTGCGCCAATGTCTCCAAATCATGGAAGAGAACCGAGTAGAACTCTTCACAGGGTTTATTAAAATCGAGATAATGCCTAGTAAAATATTCTAAATAAAGTCATTTCAAATCCATTATTCTTCCATTAAATGTAACGGTTGCTATTATACTTTGACTGACTACTTAGGGTCTTGATTCTCCCACAGTCGGAAGTGTTTGGACATGAATTTTCAAGATGGTAAGATGAGAAAGATTGAGTGGTTTTTGCCAAAAAAGAATCCTGCACGTAAATCTTCTACATGAGCAAGTCTTTACCACCCATTCTGTAGAACAAGGATTAGAGGGGTAATCTTATGATGTTTTTTCAAAACACAGAAGGTATCACTTTTCAAAAGGTGTACAGAAACCACAACAAAGACACCTGTCAAGTCAAGTCCTTAACCACAGCAAAGAAGGACGCTATGGTGAGACAGAGGGATTCTGAGCAGGTAGGGACAGAGCTCAAACCTTTTCAGATCCCAGTTTGGTTAAAAATCTGCCCTCATTCCAGTTGGACCAATTGAGGATCATTATTTCGCCTGGATATTCAAGCAGTCTTTCCAACAAACAAGGATTATGACACATTTTTTAAAACCTCTTCCCTGGTTTAACTCTTGTCAAGTTTACTCTTTAAAACAAAAAGGTTGAACGTGTGTCTGCACCTACCTCCACAGATCCTTGTCCTCTTTTTGTACCTAGACTGGACCTTAGTAAACCTCCCAATGAAGTCACTGGCGTCATACATGTCCAATGACAGAGAGGCAAACCGCTCCATAACTACCCCATCCTGGCCTTGGTTCTGGTGGTCCAGATCCTGGTCCTGCCCTTGGCTCAGAGAGTGGCCATTGCAGTGGTCTGAGGTGATGCTTTCAGCTCCAAGGCTGTTCGTGCTTCCTACATCTTCTAGAGACATGTCTCCACGAGTCCCAAGAGTCTGTCCTACTCTTGGACTAGCAGTCTATTATCAAAACTGTCCTTCAGCAGTACATGATGGTTCTACAGTAGTGTCAGCATGAACAAACACAAAAAAACATTGAAAGCATTGTTCCAGAAAATCAAAAATGGAAAAAAGTTTTAAACAGACTGTTCAGGCAGTCCTAAAATCCCTGTTGTATTTGTCTTCATCTCTAGTTTGTCCACATGTTGGTCTCCAATTTCTTCTCACAAGGATTCTTCTCTTTATGTTGAGTTCATTCAATCCAGAGACAGTGAGCTCATTGCTTTGTTGTTTCAGATCCACAGCTCTCCTGAGAGTTCAGGTTCCCCCCTTGAGTTTCACTCTCTTGCTTAAAATAAAATAAAAACTATCTCAGGTTCTTCTTTTGTTTGAGACGTAATTTCATCTTCTGTGTAATGTTCAGCTGTCTTCTCCTTACGGGCATTGTTTTTGCTCTCACCTGCTCTGTGTTTCTTACTGTCTCTGTCTTTCTCACTGCTCTGAGTCTCTGTGGCACAGCTGTGTTTCTCCGCTCTCAGGTAGTGAGCAAGGGAGGGATCCAATTCCAAGAACGCAGCTTGATTGGGTGGTTTGGTAAGTTTGGGTGGTTCTCTTATCCCTTCTCCATCTTCTTTCTACTTTTTTTCTTTCTGGTGGGGGGTTTTCCAACTACTTCCCTTATGTCACTACAGACTGTTGGGCAACGAGAAGTATTCTTTCTTGCTCACCTGTGTCCATCTTATTGTTGCATTGTTTCCCTCTCACATTATAGTTAAGATGTTTAGAATGATAGGCTTGATTCAGACAGCCCACACATGGCATGTGGGAGTGAGTTATAGTCCCTGCACTCACTGGTTGAGGCTGTTTAGCCAGTTACAGTAAGCACAATGTGTTAATGGTGTAGGATTACTGAGAGTAGACACACCCCTTTACAGAAGGGGGAAACAAAGACAAACAGGAAGAATCCACAACCCAGGGACAGTCAGTGTTTTGTAAAAGTCTTGATTAGCAGATGTTTTTCAAAGATAAATTTAAGTTTGAATTGAAGAGAGGTTTAAAGTGTTCCAACATATTTAAATACTTACTAAGGAGCTAGTTTACAAAGTGAGTCAAATGGCAAAAGAAAAACCTCCTTGAAGGGACAAGGAATTCAAAAAGGCCTCGTAACCCATAGTACCTCCATGGTGCACTGCTTATCTAAAAAATCTAATCTTACAGGACGTACAGTGTGCTGTTTTGGTTGAGCCCTAAATGCATGCTGTCCTGTAATGCTGGCAAATCTTCCCTCTCGAGGCTAAACATAGATTCACTCACTCAGCAGTTAAATGTGGAAACAGTGTATTTCAACATCTTCCATATCATGTTTTTCTAAATAAAGTCAATAAAAGCCATTTTCCACACGGGACAGACATTAAACTCATCAATGGTTAAGGTTCTCTAACAATTGTCAATCACACTTTTGTTAATCCCAGCTCTCCTTTTCTGTCGGTAGGGGAGTTAGTCTCTCTCAGGAGATCTCTACCCTGAGGTGTCTTCCTACTGTTTATTCCACTATTGTCATGACATCAGCTCCAGAGTGCCTCACCCAGAGAGCACTCGTGTAGCTTTGAAAACAACAAAAGTTCATATCCTTTTTCAGGTTATTTGAAAAGACCGCAACACAAGTTTGAGTAGCCTTAATATAATGAATAACATTGCATTGAGCATATGTTCTGCACCAAAAGATATAACCACACAACATCAGCCTTGAAAAATGAATGTGTCTTTTTCTTAAAATGAGTAAATAAATAAAAATACATTTTCACTTTCTTCCTGCTAAAAAGTAATCCATCACACTAGCAATGTTTTAATGCACACGTGACTTCATAATAACGGCAGATATTTCCCTCACTTTATTATAGAAAGAAAAACATTTAAGTTGGGTGTTTAAACTGACATTTTAAAACAGTTTGCCAGTTTCTACATCAACCATCTGGCACGGAAACAGTTAAGGGTGGCGAACAAGCTCGGTGCCAAAATCAGTTAAAGGGGCGTGCCATCCCCTAGGGGAGGACAGCAGCCAAGTATGAGGACAGACACACTCACACAAACAGGAGATTGTTTTTGTCCTTTCAATAACCGACAACTCTGGCCAAGCAATCACGGCAAACATACCCAATCATCTTCAGGAATGAGCCTATCATTTTCCACCACATGTGTTTTAATCATTTTGTCTACTACTGTACATTAATATACAATATTCTTATGGAAAACATTACATAATAATACATGATAATAGAATACACTGGGGTTCACTGACAGGTTACTCAAGTTTGATGCTCCCTTGCTTGAACTGATTAGTCTGTTGTGTTTATACTCAGCAGTTCAAATGCTGACGATCCCACTCTTAATAGAGACAGGATAATCCCATATATTCTTCCCTTTTTTTAATATTAACTCTGATTTAAATATATTTCCTAATCTGTATAAAAACACAGGAGATCTGATAAATCACCTCAGACAAGTGCATGTCATCATAATTCCAAGAACACACAAATAATCATCCCTGGAGATACATTTTCCTAACAGATAAATCAATGATAATCATCAGTTTCTACTTTTTTATTGTCTTAACCCATTTCTGGGGAGTTGAGCAAGCAGATGTTGCACTTAGATCAGCCCAAATATGAATTATGAGCTAAGCTATCCCCTTCCGCCCACTGTGCATAGTACAGACTTGCTTTGGTTGACTGGGACAACCAAACACACCCAAACACACACACACACACACAAACCACAGGCTGAAAAAACACCATCTTAATAACTATGATTCCCCGCCGCCCCAAATAGCGGCCCTTCAGTCATGCATGTCTTTCTCATTGTACTTTATTCAAATGTTCTGACGTTCATCCCATCAGTCGTGTATCATAGCTGATGGTCTCCTTATTATGTCTGTCTCTGGTGTCCCATCAAACAAGAATATGTCCCTACTAACGGGGGTACAGAGCTAGAACTACAAGACGTGTGATGTGACAAGTGGTGCCAAGCAGCCACACATACATTATATGCTGAAATATAAAACTATTTCCTCTCCCACGCACAATGTTCTAGGTCAAAAGGAAGCCGCAAGGAATGTGCCATAAACACTTTTTGGAGCTTATTATTAACATTAACAATCTTTCCCTTTTTACTTCCTTGTCTTTAATTGAGTTCATTGCTTTACTTGTAATCTGGTTGTGTATTAAATCATCCGTAAAGCTATTTGAAAACTTACTAACCTTGTGTTTACAATTTGGGTGATTTAACTACTTGAAAGTTTACAATTGCATTAATTTGTGTTTTTTTGAAAAAGATGCTGCCAACAAACACCACACCTTTCTCATTATATTCCTTAACTCAGAAGCAACATCCTTTTAACTATTTCATTTCCACTTTCTGAGACCTCTGTTGAAATGGGAATCCTTAGATTTCTCCCGTCACTCAAATATGCTGTCGTGTAACAGTTGGCCAGATTGTCCTGGACGCTAAGCAACCTGTCTTACAAGAGAATTTAGGACATAAACAACCTACATTTTGGATTATGCATTTTAACAAAACTCCAGTTCAGGGGTTCATCAGCATGATAATCATATAATGAATCATAGGAGTGCTTCACCACAAGAAACAATCAATCTGTTGAACAAACAATGCAGCTTTGTGTCACAAACATTATTGTTGTTCTGACGATTGCAGCATAAGATTTATTCTGTGCACTAAATACATGTTTTGAGTATTGTCAACACCATAACAGATAAATACTCTTAAGTGGGACATCCTAGTGGCTCTATTTGTTAAGGCACATACCCGCTAACATTGTTTTATTTAACATCCTGTAATTATATACTATTATTGGTGCCTAAGACAATAGAAATGATTGAACTTCCACTGAGATTTGGTCAACCTTCGTGCATTGCATACATTTAACTGGTTATAGACGCGGTTACTGAGACACTATATGTTTATTTTGTATGCATGCTTATGATGGCACTACTGGGCTGACAAATGCACTCGAAGTGAAAGTAATAATTGTACTTTCTTTTCACTTATCTCTACAGTGATTTGACTTGTTTGCAGGTCTACAGATGTCATCTAAAGCTGTGTTAGCGTTATAGGCAGGTACCGGGGATGCAGTAGCCTGATTATGAGGCTTTATGCCATTTCATTTTGACTTCACTTGAATGATTGTGGAAACAACGGTGCGTCACCTCGTAGCATCAAGCAATACGAATATATAATCAACACTGAAATTAACAGAGAATCACACATAGCATGAAAGTAGGAATTTATCAGGTTTCAATATTTTCAACACAAATGCTATCATTAATTGAGTTATCCGGTCACAGCTGTAGCAACAGCGAAAACAGCCAGATGTCCTTCACGTGTGTCCTTCTCCTCATTGTCAAGCCTGCACAGCAACTTCACAATGCTGCCCCCTTGAGCACATTGGAGAAATAATAATCCTGCTTATGCAATTAGTCACATTTCTGATTAAGGAGGGCAGGTTTGAAAACCCTTTAAAACCACCATTACAGTAGATACCATGTTTGTTTCTTTTCAGACCTACAGTTCCTTTGTAAGAAACGCTCATGCTTTTCTTTGGCTTCCCCTGAACAAAGACGGTTTAAACTCTCTCTTCACTGAAATACATAAGTTAGAGAAAAAAAATGCATACAAATGACAGAGTGAATTGTTTTAGCCCTGAATTAAGAGATAAAGTAAAAACCTGTCAATTTTGTGGGAAGTGAAGATATACAAGGTTCTTTATTTTCAAACTAACATCGCTACAGAGTAATTATGTCGTTGAAAATCTTAGGTCACAGGCTTCTCCAACAATGCAACACAATAATACAGATAAGCAGACAATATTAAAACAATATTAAAATATACTATATAAAAAGTCATACAAAAACAACAATTCATTCATTCATGCGCAAATATTAGCCTTGCATGTTCACATACAGTATATACACACAGTACAGTATGCCCCCAGTCTCTCTCTCTCTCTCTCTCTCTCTCTCTCTCTCTCTCTCTCGAGCTGTGTTATGTAACACTATCTCTGGCATCTCCAATGCATCAGCAAACTGCTCCTTTAAAACCAACAGCAGTAAAACAACTTACCTTTACTAATTATCTAAAGTCCTACCTCAAACACAGAAAGCACTCAAGTCAAATGAATTCATTCTCATCCAATCTTCTAGAGAATCATATCAACACAGGGCTCAAAATGGCTTATCAGATCATTTAAAGTAAGAGTGTTCTGCTACTCTTAATCAGGAGAAGAGCTCACCCTTAAAACATGCACTAATCTCCAACGCAACAGCAACTTGAGGCCGAGTCAGACAGGGAGTGTGACGGTAAGGAATGTGATTGTGTACCAATGTGTCTGTATTTGTGTGGACTTGTGTGTGCCTGGCAGAAACACCAGGTTATGTAAGCAAGTGGGAGTGAGGTGCCGGGAGGTATCTATGGAAACGATGACAGTGAGGAAAGACACATAATTCACCAGCTGACTGAGTTTACACGTCGGGAGCAGTTTCTGAAAATCAGTTCAGCAAATTGAGCGATCAGTGGCCTGCACAGGTCAGCAAAAGAGCTAAAATAGGGCACTGTGTCACTGGGTAAAAATGAAACCATGGAGTATATGATAACAGAGTGGAGACTGTTATCCACCCCAACTCAATTTAGTGTTGTGAGAGAAAATAAATCTTCGCACTTAGAACTTTAAAAACATGGAACGAGCTTGCAGAAGATGTTGTGAAGGTTCTTTCTCTATCCTTCTAAATAAAAAAATCAGATTTGTGAATTTATTTTTAAACAAGTGTATTGAGGTTATTTTTTGTTATACTGTTGTTTTGTCTGAGAATGACTAGTGTGGAGGCTTTATATCCTGTACCTAAACATTTTGAAATGATTGATCTTAAACTGTGACACACCATGTTAATCAATTGTAACCACAGCGTCACTGCAACATTATGATGCTGTCATACCTAATGGTAACCATATAACTTGTTTTTTAAAAACCATATAACTTGTTTTTTTTAAACTCATTGCATAGCGTAACACTTATACTGTGTACGGATACATCTCTGTCAACCTGGTTGAAAAATCCCCGTGTGAAAAATCTTAGAAACAAGATATAATTGTTTTAATTGAGTATCGGAAGTTTTAACCTGATTTAGAAACTGTAAATGAATACCTTCTGTGTGGTATATCAATTATATTGATCGGTGGCCTAGTGGCATAATACAACTCCACATCCCTAAATGTAATGACCTGAAATATTAGCCAACTTTATCTAAGTCAGTAGAACATTTTTTTGACATTCTTGCCACACGTTGCTACACTGAAATCTTGCTGTAGCTATTCCTTTGACCTTAAATATATAATTTTTTTAAATGTTATTACATTCTGTACATTAATGTTTTATCTCTCCCTTATCTTTAGGATGAGTAAAAAATATGCCACTGAAGGGGTGACGTATTCTCTAACACGGAGAGAGATGTTTTTTTTTTAATTGTGGACAAACATAATAGTAGTAGTAGGGGAAACCTCACACACCAGAGAGCAGTGACACACATGACATGCTGTCTGTGTGTTACTCTAGTCCAGACACAGAACAATGGAGCAAACTGGGTCGCCGTTGCCAACTGGCTGTGCCAAACAGCTGGAGAGGGAGATCATTGGAGAAAAAGGGGAGGGAGGATGGGGACTAATCAGGAATTGGTTTAAAATAAGACCCCACAGAGAGCATGCTAGGGAGGAAAACTAAGCCTTATCATTCAGATTCCTACAATTCACCTTCAGAGCAAAATGGGCATGATTTCATTTTGTATCATTACATTTTGCCAGCAGACACTTATAAATGGTGGTGCTGTCTGCTGTCTGACATTGTATGAGTGCATGTAAATAATACATGCTGCAACACTGGCTTTCTCTCACAAAATATTCAACTGACTCCTGAGCATCTCAGCTGCAGCATAATAAAGTGCAAAGCTACTCAGGCGGGATGATCCACGCCAATGGACCATAACTCATTTACATTTCACAATTTCAAGGCTGTGTCTCATCCAAAATCCGTAAATATACGTTCATATTCACTAAAAGGAAACACATCACATTAGGTCCCCAGGCTCAGTCATGGAATCAGACAATCATGTGTTGGGTTATGTTACACTACGAGCTTTTATATATCGTATTTATACCCCAAAACTGTAGCAACTAGCAATGAGGAATTGATTGGTATATCATTATTGTAAGCTAACTAGCTAGTAGCTAACAGGCAGCTGTAGCATTAATATCTTTCACCGCCATCACGAAGTGTGTATTTACAACCACCGTCTGTTGCTCAGCTAATCTACCCCATTCATCAACGCGGCATTGTTCGTATGGTGAATGCTAAACAAAACAACCTGGAAGGGTTCTGGTCAGCCAAAACCTATTTTAAATCTAGTGGTCGACCATTATAACCAGCTATGTCTGTAGCTAACTCGATAGCTTACGAGCTAGTCCAAGCCCCTGTGGTAGTTGTATCGATGTTGAGTCAAGACGTTGCCTGGTTGTCTTTGTGGTACACAGCACCAATAAACACCACCAGACACAGCACTAATGTGACATTCAAAACGGAACCTTACCTTTTATGCGTCGATTTCGGCGACTACAGGATCATTTCCTGGCGCGAATTATTTGTTTATGTGATTTAGTGGCTTGTTTTCATCAATCCGTCTCGTCTCTCTCCTCCGGGAGTCGTGCCGCCCCGGCTGACAGCACTACTGCTCAGGATGACAGGGCCCCGCCCTTAGCAACCAATGGGGTGCCAAGGTTCTGGAAACAGAGGCAAGGTGTGTTCCCTATTGGTTGGCGGCTGTGTCCATCATCTTGTCGCTAAGGCTGCAACTTGGTCCAAGGGCAGGACACCTGCCACGGAAGGATGCTGGGCTACGTAGGTGTGGTTAATTCAAGTGAAGAAAGGGCTGTGGGAAAAAAGAAAATATACATGGGGTAGCATCTAACATTTGCAAATAAGCCTAAAATGCACACATCCAAACCAGCACTTGAAATGAGCATTTAAAAAACAAAAACAATTCCACACTGTAATATTGCATACTGTACACAACATATTTAATCAACTAACAGCTCTGACAAGGTTTTGGTAGCTTGTGGCATAGGAAGTGTTGAGACCAATTGCTTCAATTATACTACTCTCATAGACAGTAGATTTCCGTTTGGTTTTGTTTACCTTTAATGTTTCAGCTTTTACAAAAAACGAATGAAGAGGGTCAATGCTTCAGTGCTTCAGCTCTCTATTGGTATATGTAAGCTTTAACATTTTTGAATCGAATCACTTACTCAGCACATTTTCCTGTGAATGTGTTTGTATAGCTTGTTTTTCTCAGTAAATAGCTTGAGGCTCACATTAAAAGTTAACGCTGTTGAATATACTTGAAGTGTGTTCTGTTTTGTTTTTTTATTATATCAGTGCAGTCTCTGCGCGAGAACCAATAAACAAATCGTTCACAAACCTGACTCCAACAAACGCATATGAACTGGAAATGATGATTTTTAAGAAAGCTGAATAATCCTAGTGAAATAATAATAGTATTAGAGCCTGACATCCCCCCCCCAAAATTGATCAATCTAGTTGAGATATGATTATTTTGGTATGTCAACAATCAGGTTAACACATAGCCACTCAGGGAATGAACATTGACAAAGTCATGGGTGAATTATCTCATGGCTGAGCACGTGTAACTCCATATATAAAAGCAGCCTGCTGTAGAGACCTTGTGCTCTGTGTCTCTTTTGCAAAAGCTGATTAAAGACTCAGGAGAACAACTTTTTGGATCCTTTGTTGCACACTTATATACAATATACAGAACATACACTGAGAACTCTACTGTACAAAATATATATGCACAGCATGATAGGAAATGATAGTCCTTATTTGGGTTCCACTCCTTGGCATATAACTCTACAAATAAGTATAACTCTCTCTTCTAGTTTTTATCTGAATTGTTGATGGTTGTCAACACAACTGTTAAAAGGCAGCAACAACAAAAGGCATATCATATAACATATCAGTATAACAAAGTATAAATAAGCACAGAGGCAACCAATCTAAATGAAACAGATCAAATCCCTCCTATGGGCATGCTTTAACCAAACGTTTAATCTAGTCCAGGTCAGGGTTAGGGTTATTCAGGACATCTGAACAATAAAGGTTTGATTTCATTGTTTCAAGCTATGGCAGCATATTGGTTTTGCTTCATTATTAGTCAGAACAAATACTGTACATGCAGTAAAAAAAATGGCATTCAACAATAAACAATTAAGGAAACATTCACATAACACACACATTGACATTGAAACATACGTACATGTGTCGGGAACAGGAAGCTGCTACACAAAGCTGATGCGGATCATTCAGTGATTGTCGATGGTTTAATCCCTTTCTCTCCCATTGACTGGGTTCTCTCGTATTTAAAGTGCATAAAGTTAATAAAAATCTCAATGACAATTTCATTTTCCAATTCAAGTGGAAAAGTCCAGTTGAAGTTGTCTTTCCCATCCCATTCACTACAAACCTGTAGCAAATGAGTTACAAGTTAATATTATTTAAAAAATATGATCAGATATATCATGTTGTGAGTCAACAATTATCATTTTTTGTGTAATTGAACGTTTCATTTTCTGGTTTATTTTATGAATTACATTTAATTTGTTGCATTCATTTTAAAATGTTGCATGATCACAAAACAAGCCAAATGCAACCGCTGATGTGCAAAAAACTGATTTAGTTTATGCAATCCAAGACCAGTCAAAGAAAAGTCCAATCCAATCATTTCTGGTTTTTTGTTGCGATAGAAACCATTTATCCATGAAAACATTTATTGGTCAGTGTCTTATAAGCATCGGTGACTCAATAAGCTGCATCCCTAAGTCAGCTCGGAGAAAATTGTGTCTTTCTCCCAGCCTTCTCTTCTGCTCTACCTCCATAATCTGATCAGGGATGAGTGTAAAATCTGATTTGTTCACTAACAGTACTATACATAAAGCACTTTTCTTGTGAGACTTAAGACACTTAAAGTCCATTGTGCCTGCCTCGGGGCGGCAGCACTACATGCTGGTATTTATTCTTTCAGCCATTTTTATCTCCACTTTGCGGTATCCTTACTTGGAACAACATATTATGTAGGTGCCACATAAGCAGGCAAGCATGGGTGCCAATCAGCTGAAGTTGTACAGAGGTTCAATAAAACATTGAAAGGTTGCTGGTTTGATCCCGGGCTGTATGCCCACATGTGGAAGGGACTTTGAGCAACATGTACACCCTTTTAACAAAAAGGTTGAAATGTTAGCATTTTTTAAATAAAAATCCGACCCTAATGAGACAGATCAGTGATTGTTAATCCTGCTCCAGTTCCTGCCAGTCTCATTAAAACAGTGCTATTGTCATACAGGAGCATAAAGATAAGCAGCAAGTGGCCCTTGACCAGTAATTTACAAAGTGCCGTGACAGATTCTGCTTCCCTCAGGCGTAGCGGGGATCTGCGCCCGTCAGAGACACCTGCTGGAGGTAGGGGGGTGGCTGGTAGCAAGGAGGCCGCCCGGACTCCATGTAGATTGTGGAGGAAGTTAGGCTTTTGCGGTCTTTTTTCAAGATGTGTCTCCTCTGCCAACGACAGAGTAAGACTTCCACCTGCTCTCTGAAGAAGCTGGTGGTCAGGGTGTACAGGATGGGGTTCAGAGCGCTGTTGATGGGGAGGATGAGGATGACTACCCAGCTGGAGATGGTGCCTGAAAGAGAACAGGAGCACAGTTTTGTTTTAATTCAGAATCAGAAATCTTCATTAATCCTGGGGCGAAATTAAACAAAAAAAACTGTTGGTCTATTTTAGATTTATAAAAGAGACAGTACATAACACTAAACATTTTAAAATGTAAATTACAATATATGCAGTGGTGTATTCATATTAATAATAATAATAATAATAATAATAATAATAATGCTTAATGGGTAATAAACGTGTAAAGGTTAAACACATTAAAAGACTGATGTGTAGCATGGTTATCTTCTGATTTGTACTGTAAGTGGTTAAAGGCCAAAGATTCATGAGGGAAGTCTTAAAACAGGTTTAAATATCCTAAATGGTTTAAAGGTCAAAGATGGGTACAGGTAACAGTAAAACAGGGGAAAATGTGTTGTCTGGGGATGCAAATTGATTGAAAGAGAAAGATGAAAGGAATATAAAAAGGTTAGAAAACGGTCAAAAGAACTATAATTTCACGGGAAGACTAGGAGTGGAGGAATGTGAGAATTTGGTTAGGGATATTTTCAAATATCTGGAACAAACTATCAGAAACCTGCAGGTCCGCTGCAACTCTTACTACTTTTAAATCCAGGCTGAAGACTTTCCTTTTGCCACTACTTTTAATTGAACTATTCACATCTTACACTGCACTGTAACCTTTATTAATGTACCTGTGTTATTCATGTTCTATTATCGTTGGTTTTTTATGTTTCTAATGTGTTTTATGCTCTTAATGTCTTTCATTTTTGTAAAGCACTTTGAATTGCCTTGTGCTGAAAAGTGCTATATAAATAAACTTGCCTTGCCTTATAATAAGGAAATGTAAACGTAATCTTAAACACTTTTCATTTTCTTACCAGGCATCTCCACATCCAGTAGTGAGAAGACTTTGATCATAAAAATGGGGATCCAGCAGAGGGCATCAGAGAACACTATGAAGAAAAATCTGTTGGCCACCGCCACGTCTCTGTGCAGTCTGCTCCTCAAGTCTGTGGCATTGACTCCGGTTTTATAGATGGAGCAGAACATGCTGGAGTAAGAGAAGGCGATCACCAGGAAGGCCACCAGGTTCAGACCTAAAGACAAGCACATGCTATTCACGCACATGAACATAGAGGACGAAAACATACTCAGACATTTTACTTAAGTAGAACCGATATATCAATGTAAAAACAAAAATCTCTCTGCATTCAAAATGGTTTGTTAGGAAATGAAATTCAAATAATTCAATGTATTGTAAATGCGTAAAAGGTTTCTTTGTTAAATGTAAAATCTTACTATGTTAAAGAACTCGTAACCACGGTTGTCAAATAAATGCAGTGGAGTAAATAGTACATTAATCTCTGAGATGAAGAGAAGAAGAAATATAAAAAGTGAAATACTGAAGTAAAAGAAGTACCTCAAAGAAGTCCTTACAGTAGGTAGGCCTATAGGTTTGAGTAAATCTAAATGATTTCCCTACAGCACAAATATGAAAACATAGGTTTGCAGGTGCATTAAATGTAGAACTTAAAGCAATTTGCACTTGAATGTATGCATTTGTACACAGAGAAGTGTCATGATCCTGGTGTTGTCTCACAATGTTGGTTTTGTCTGTATTGTGGTGGGTTTTATGTTGCTGTTCTGTTCTCCCTATCTTGTCTTCCTTCCTGTGTTTTTCCTCCTGTGTCTGATTGTGTTCACCTGTTGCCCTTGTGTTTCTGCCTCCCTTACCCAGCTGTGTCTTGTCCTGTGATTACCCCTCTTTGTGTTTAGTCTTGTCTTCCCCTGTGTTCCTTGTCGGTTCATTTTCTTTCCTGTCTCCCTCCATGTAGCTCACGGTCAGTTTTTGCTTTGTTGCTACCATGTGCTATCTGTTTGTTTCATGCCATGATTTGTTCATCAGCTTTTTTTTTTTTTTAAATATAGCTCGATTTTTGTTCCTAGACCTTTTGGCCTTTTTGTATTATGCTTTTGGGTCCTACCTTTTTCCACGAATCATAACAGTAATTTAAGTTATCAAATGAATAGCGGAGTAAAAATGTAATATCTGCCTCTGGATTATAGTCGTAATAAAAAGGTAGCAGGATTAGAAGTACTTGAAAACTGTATTTATTTTTTTATTCTACACATAGCAGTTATTTTAAAACAAAACATATACACTACTGCTTTTTTTTTTTTAAATTTATAGCGCATGGTTGAGAGGAGCAGGGAGAATAACATCTTATTTTATCTGCCCCTTCTTAAAAACAATTTAAAAAAAATGAAATAACCATAAAAAAGTAAAATAAAAGCAATATTATTTCAGTCACAGTTGCTTACAAATGCTGAAACATAAAACCAGAACACAATCAAAAGTCAACTTCATACTGTCTCATTACGCTTTCTTTATACATTTTCTTAAACATAACAGTTTCTTACAGCCCTTTAAATCATTCGGCAAAAGAATTCCACTTTATTTAGCAAAAGTAGGCTACTTGAGTAAATACTTGTTACTATCAACCAATGTCCACCATTATTTTTTCAAACATATAAGAGTATATCAACATGTTATCAGATATAAGCACATCCTCCGCCCTCTATCACCGGCAGGAGGAGCCCCCCTCCCCGGACCCTCCCTCCTCCTCCTCCCCGGTGTAAAGTGACGGAGGCGCGCTCCCGTGACGCAGCGCAGCCCCGTGCGCACCGAGGCTGGAGTGGAAGAGGCGCGCTCATCTCGGGAGGACCTACAGCAGAGCACCGGAGACGGGAGGAGATCACCCGGTTAGTCCGACCGCCAGGAGCCTCAGCCGGGGAAACGATGCTCAGAAGGAGCCTCTCCGCCGGCAGCAGGACTTAGAAAGCTGCGGGAGATCCACCCGGACACTTTTCAGCCTCCTCTTCCTCTCCGATAAGGAAGATCTCTCTCTCTTCAGTTTAACCCCAGTTTACAGGTCCGGTTTGACCCCAGCACGATGTGGAGTACCGGGGTCTTGCTGCTCCTCCTGGCCGTGTTTCTAGCCTCCGGAGAACTCCAGCTGGAGACCGAGCCGCGGAGACTCCCTCCTCCGGGAAAGTTGGATTTCGGTTATGTTCCTGCAGGAGTTTACGAGACTCTGGCCCATTACGAACCGGGACCGATAGGGATCCTGTTCCACCTGGTGCAGGCGTTCCTGTATGTGGTGCAGCCCAATGAGTTCCCTGAAGGTAAGAAGCATCCTCACTCAGTCAGAGAAACAGAGGGATACATCCAGGCTGGGATGCGATGGATGCTCACTTTTGGGAACATTATCAGAATCAGAATACCTTTAATCGTCCCACAGAGGGGAAAGGTAGCCTACATGGTTACAGCTAAAGTAAAACGCCATAAATAGCGAAATATTATTTAAGAGGCATTAAATAGTAACAATAGAAATCGCACAATTATTTACAATGTGCAAAATACACATCCAGTTTGACAACAAAAAGTACCAGTAACACAGTATTTTTTGTTAAATTAGTGTATCATGTATAAGGTGTGAAAGCAGGTGCTAGTAGTAAAACTCTAAGTATTGCAGTTATTTACGGATTATGTACAATTGTTGACATGTCTAGTAGCCTATACATCGGTCTAATTGAATTAGGCCTACATGTGATTATAATACAAAATACATAATATTATCTTTATCTGCATGTGGGATTTACCAAAAACATTTTCCGGAGTGGAGCATGTTGCTTTTTTTCGGGAATTTTAAGACCCAAGGATGCTCAAATCTATATTTGTACTACCAAGTTGTCACTTTCCACAGCACCAAAGCTGAAAGATGTTTGAACTGAGTTCTCATAAATGGGTCTATTTCTTACGGACGGTATCTGGCTTGTCCTCTGTGTGTAAATGTGTCCTCTCGCGGACTCCAATTGTGCGTCACGTCCCTGCAGCGCGCGTTTTGATTTGCGCGCAGATCTGACAGCGCGCGTTGAGGTGGTGTTTGTGCTCGCGGCGCACTTTATGTCAGGATAATTACAATTAATGAAGCTCTCACTGACAGCGTGACGTGTCACTTTTTACAAGCACATTTTTTTTGCCCGGATGGTGAATGTTTGTCCCAGACACCCAGTGGATCCTCATTTAATACAATTAGAGGTGTGTGTGTGTGTGTGTGAATTGCTGGATGCTGAAAAGATGCCCTCTATGCGTCACTGTCTGTGTCCAGATAGGTCGGAACATTTAGCAGATTAGCAGCTCTCTGAGTCACCTTGTTAATTGGGTAATCCCATAAACCCCTGCGCCATATGTTGCTGGCCTTTTAGTTTCCAGTTTGTCNGAGGGAGGAGGGTTGCAGGAGGAGACGAAAGGGATACACGCGAGCAGACTACGCGGAAGTGTTTTCACTAGGGCCGGGACTCGATTAAAAAAATTAATCTAATTAATTACAGGCTTTGTAATTAATTAATCGCAATTAATCNTACAGCTCCTAAAGCATAATCAGGCTACAGCCGTTGTGTATTTTATTATGTGAAGTACTAAATGGTTTTAGAAAAATATCGACTCTTTCATCATCATCATCATCATCATCTTTATTTAAAGAGACTCTTGGTCCATTATTACAAGACATACAACACTCTAATAAAAATGATTTGTTTGTAGATATCTACTAAAGTAAAGCAAATAAAGAGAGTAGACCTGTTATACTGAGTGATATATAATTTACACACTGCTCTGCTTTCTGCACGGACCTCACAGCTGTTCTCACTGTAAACATTCGCGTCGCGATGAAAGCAGTTAATAAAATAATATCCAGGGGATGCATGCAGAACTGTCATTGGCTGAGATAAGTCCGGCCGTGCGTCACGACTCTTTGAAACATCTCTGTTCCCGGAAATGCATCTACGAAGGAGCCGTGGAGGAGCCGTGGAGGACCCATCAGTGTATCCTCGGTTATAGCTCCTCCAGAGAGCCTCCTCGACGCTCGATCCTCGAAGTGCATTTAGAGAAATGAGATGTCCTTCAACATGGCGCGCTGAAATTCATTTCCGGGTCACTACCGGACGGTCGAGGAGTCGAGGAGGGGGATTTGATGAAATGAGAAAGGGCCCTCGTGTCTCTCGCTCGCATCTTACGGAGGCGGAGCTAAGACGCAAGGAAGGGAAGCGAGTGAGGGAAAGGAGGAGTCGAGGAGGTGTATTGAGATGAGGCTATTGTCTTTCCTGTCTCCCTCCATGCTGATCACGGTCAGTTCTTGTGTTGTTGTTTCCTTGTGCTACCAGCACCTGATGTACTTATATGATTCTATTTTCTTCAAGTTAGTATTTTGTTGGTCGAACGCACTTATTGTAAGTCACTTTGGATAAAAGCGTCAGCTAAATGCAATGTAATGTAAATAATGAATATCTCTTCATGAATTAATTCACAGGGCCCAGTGATGCTGGCAACCTTAAATAATTTATTCATCACCATTGCAAGATTTCAATAGCCCTTCAGTGAGAACATGGAGTAATAACAACCCAGACTAATCATGTATTGTTGATGGAGCCATAACGTTCGCTGTGTAATCTAACGTGCAATCTTTTGTAAGATGCTTCCTACACACGGATGAGTAACAATACACCTAAAATGATATCCAATACTTTTGAAGTTTTAAAAAAGCTATAATAACATTTATTTTACAAGTCTCCATGATACGCAACAGTAACTGATCAGATGTAAAGCTCAGTCTTTAATCTCAGTGTGTTCTGCATTTGATCAGTGATTTATCCTTGGGAATTAATATTTTATTAGATTTGGTTGCAGAAAGAATCCTCCTAAACTTAGACTACTGATTTTTTGGAAGTACCTTCAAGCACTAAACACAAAAAACCTGCTACCAATCAGTATTCTATGTATAATGAGCTTCCGTGAAAAATTGCACGATTTTAAACTTCAATTTACCCAGAAAAATCGCTGTTGAATATCCTTTGGCAGTAGGTTTTTCTTGCCTGTCAGAGTGCAGGGGAAAGCAGACCCCATTACGTCCATAGTAGTTTCCAAAGACGTCTTCATTCATTAGGGGCACAGCCGCAATTATAAACCCCAGGAGCCAGATAGAGGCCAGGACCACCTTGCAGCAGGACGAAAAAAACATATGGATTTCTGACGGCAGGGCTCCTCAAAGCAATATAAAAAGGATTAAAGCATTCATAGGATTTTGACAATTCCAGACTCTACCACCATCTGGAAAATAAGGCTATCTCACAGAGAGACTGACAGGCAGACTTACATCGAGGATGTTAAGCAAAAGTTTATCGCAGCTAGATTTGGTAAGATTTAGCTGACAATAGTTCGTGATTAGATATATATAGCTGCTAAGGAAAGGAAGTGACTGGGGACCCAGAATGTAAACATGAAATGTTCTGCCTCAAGTAAAGCTTTTTTATACTGCTTTAATGCTTTTTATTTATTTTTGACTTTTTATTTATATTTTTTTAGTCACGCCGTTGGAAGAGGTTGAGCTGAAACAAAAGGAGGAAGTATTCACTTATGTTTCCTTCCTAAGGAGTAAGATTGTCTCAGATTAGCGGGTGTTTTCATGAGAATCTTCTTCAATCTTTTAATATCCAACTTGGTAATTAGGAGTCTTCACACACGTGTCAGCTCACAGCATATCCCTGCAGCTAAATTTAATTTATTGCAGTGTCATCTGTAAAGGTTTTTGCAATCATTTAAAATTAAAGCTTGCGTTGTGAACCCTCTGTGACCCGAAGCTGAAAAGCTGCACCTCGACACTTTCAACTTTCCAGGGTCTCTACCTTGCTGTAATTAGGATCTCCTCTGCTGTATAATTAGACTATTTCTACTTGCAGGTACAGCAAAGGTCGAGGAGTATTTCATACTTAGTGCTCCAGCTAAACACTCAGTGTCCCTATAATTTGTTATAGGATGATTAAAGTTCCCATGACATGCTTTTCCGGTTATTACCCGCCCCCTTGTGTGTTATGTAGCTTTGTATGTATGTAAACGGTCTGCAACGTCACAAACCCTCAAAGTAAACCTTGTAGCAAGTACAATTCTAACACAGAAAAGACCTGTCTATGCTGCCCCAGAACGCCTTGTTGGAAATTTTTCTATTTCCATTTATTTCTTCCTAGTCACAGTGACTTAACAACGACCAAATGGACCAATCCGTGGAGCTCCTCACACACACACACACACACTCACTCAGCCTTATCTTTACTCAGGCTGTGAGTGTGTGGTGAACTGTGTGGCGAGCAGCCTGGCTGTGAGTGTATGTGTGTGCTCAGGCTGAGTTCCGCGATGTCTCGCTGTCTCGCAGACCCCACGCAGCAACCAGGAAACGACAACAGTAATCCAGCTCACACTGTCCACCCGCAACATCCCGCCAACACAGCACCCAGACCCCACGTAGCATTCTCATCTATTTCTCATTACTGGTGTCATTTTCTGGTTGCTAACAAACGCCATGGTAACACATAATCACTGATGTTCCGCTGTAACGGTAGTGGACTCATCAGAACAGAGTGGGCGAGCTGACCAATCAGAGCACAGTGGGCTTATAGGGAGGGGGGGGCAGGAGCTCCAATAAGCCGTTTAGGAGAGTGAATACTATACAGCAGGGGTCGGTAACCCCTGGCAAGCGTGCCACCATTGGCACGCGGCACCGTAACCAGTGGCACACTAGGAATAAGTGGATCCTGAACGAGACCCAGCCCCGCTCTCTTTAACTCCAGGCGACTTTCTGCCGCTACCTCCGTGGTGCAGTGCTGATCATTTCACTTCATTTAATGGCACTTCATATAAAAAAGGTTGCCGACCCCTGCTATACAGAGATGCTGTATGAGAAACCAATGTGATTTTGGAACATTGGACAATGTAAATCTATTCTAGTAGACCTAAGCAATGGAATTATGATCAGTAGAAATTGCCATGTCAAGAGAAAAAAAATGTCTTCAGAATTTCCCACATTCCACAGCATAAGTGAGCAGTAAAGTCCTAAATAAAACAGCACAAACAACAATAATGTTCCAATCAAATGAATGCTCACCACAGTCTGAAGTTTGCCTGGGCGCAGATTGCTGAAGGGGAAGACAATGACCAAGAACCTTTCTAGAGTCAGGTAGGTGAGGAGGAGAACAGACACCTGAGGGGAAACACTCACTATGAATCCTCAAGGAACAGCTCCTAAACATAGACTGTATAAAAAAGGTTTTAACAATTTTCAAGATGGATTTCTTTCCTTCCAGACATTGGGTTAGGTGAAATTACATAATAGAAGATTGGAGAGGCTAGAACCGGCATCAGGAAAATAATCACACTCTATGTATGCTAATGCAGTCTCAAGCAAGGACTCATTAAAGGTGGGGTAGGTAATTTTGGAGAAACCAGCTCGAGTGCGCTAGAATTTGAAAATACACAGCAGGAACAAATCTGCCACTTCCTTACAGAGCCCCTCCTCCAACACACACAAACGCGCACATGACCAATGAGGGCATGACATAAGTTTGTGCACGGATGGAAGGCTGAAATGATTGGTCGTGCTTTTTACAGTATTACGGCTTCCACAGAGGACATTTTTTTATGTATTTATTGTCAAAGCATTTAATATATTCATTGCTATTGAATTGTAAAGAACATTCCATGGAATATAACAAAAGTGTTTCTGAAATCAATTACATACCCCACCTTTAAGAGTCAGCTAAAGCAATCTCTTTATTGACAACACGTCACTCCCATAACAAATATAACCTTCACAGTTGTTTACACCTCGTCTCAGTATTTCTAACAATTTGGCTCTTGAATTAAAGTTTTTATTTGAAGTGATCAATAGTCAATAGGGTCTGATAAGTGCAAATTCTTTGGTATAGTTAATTATTCTCTGCTCATTGGAAAACTGTTATTTATTAATCCACTGTTTTAAACATTTTTACATGACATTTGAGGTCAGTTAAGAAAGCACAGATCCAATCAGGTATCGACCAATGAGAAAAATATATATAAAAAGGTGCTCTTTGTAGTTATCTAACATTCAGTCTTTTTATTATTAAAACGTACTTGTGTCCTAAGTGTCCTTCCACATAAATCATATGCAAAGAAACTGTTTTAGTATTTTAAGCAGCACAGTTAACATCCATGTTTGCTTTTGTTGTCACATCCAAGCTCACATCCTTGTGTTTGTGCAAAAACAGGGAAAACATTCCTCTATACTGTGGCATTACTAGTGGATAAAAACTCCAGAGTAAATTTCACTATACAAATCAAAGTCATGCAATCATGGCCGTCTGCCTACTGTAGCATTAGTATTATGAGACGAAAAGAAAGAACACAGGGGGGACTAGAGAGTTCGTATATGTTACTCCCTGTTGGCATATAAAACTATGGGCAGAATATATTGATTAATCAAATGGTCCCTCACTCAGCCAAACTGCAATAAGTGGCAGGATACTGGGCTGATAAAATGCTGTCAGCAGCAGTGGCTCACATGAAATCAGGGGGAAATAGTTGGTAATAGCATCTTCAACAACAAAAAAATAAATACATATATATGCGATATGCATTGCAGTGAATTCAGTTAGTTGAATTGTTCATTTCACACAGCGGGATGGTAATCTATTATAATTTACCTCTGAGGAGAGCATGGCCAGGAATCCAATGGTCCGACACTCAACACTCTCCATCCAGATCAGGGCGTTACGATTGTACTGACCGCGAAATTTCACATCAAATACTCCAACAAAAAACAAGTACACACCCATGAGGCAGTCTGCACCTGAAAGATAAGAGACAGTGACCAACGCCAGTCTGTTTAGAGAGAGGGAAGTTCTGTTTGAGTCCAGCTTCTGACAGACCAATGATTTCTCATACATTTTCACAACCCAGAAATACTTCCTACCCTCCAGAGCTTGAAGGAGTAATCACTTGGATGGGACACAAACATCTGTCAAAATGTGGCTTGTAAAATCCGCTCCAATCACTGTTAAACATGTTCTGTCTTTTGTAATTGATTGCATTTGATTTATACAGCAAACCCGTCTTATGTGCAATTAATTGTTGGAATATGACTTCTAATGCTGGTTATTAAAATGTTTTATCTTGATACCACCTCCCGGCCTTTTTAAAGCAGAATGTATACATCATTTTCACTGTGTAATCTTCTCAAAGATATTAATATGAAACGTACATTTATCTCACTTAGGATGGTTTACTTGACCTGAAGATATTTACTTTAAGATCAATATTTAAACATGTATTATTGTGAACGTTACAATCCAGTTGTCTTTGGCATAAGGTTTGCTACTATGGTTTTAAATATATACACTTAACATACCCAACCCATATCTTCCTCTTCTTGTAGGATGTTCTACAACACAAGATGTCTCGGAATAAAAAAGTGGAACAAAAAGTGAATCGCTGGAACAGCGATGGATCCATTTCCCGGCCTTAATCTGAGGAAGCTATAGGTGAGAGAAATATTTAATCTTATGATAATCACTCCTAAAGCTCCAACGGCTCATATGTTATGCTCAGTATCTTCTTCTTTTTCTGGTATTGAAAACCTCCAAAGTATTTATAAAGTTTGACAGGATCATCTTTACCCGTTACTTCTTTAGAAGTATCTTTCACATTTAAGTACATGTCTCCATGTAGGCATTTTCACATAAAGTGTCCTTACACCAGAAATAGCTGATCCATTGGCTTCTATATACTGCAGCAGCAGCAGCAGACTCTCCTGCCTGTTTGACAAATCATTTCAAATTTGCAATATTCCCCAACCTAAGTCAGAAACACACTTTGCTTGCTCAAAATCTGGCTCCAGTCCAGCAGGTTTGGTTTGCTAGATTGACCCCTGCCTAAACTTGAAAATGGCTTGATTCACTCCAAAAGGACACACTCAAATTTGAATCCTTCCTCTTCATTTGAGTTATTGTAGATTTCTTTTTGCTTCATTCAGCCTTCATTCAGCTTCCTGTCGCATCATTTAGGTTAAAAACCTTTAACACAACACACTTTCATTCACTTTAGGCAAATAAACATTTCAATGAAAAACATGCCATACTTAAACAAGCACTTTCATTTCTGCTCTAAGAACGTCTCCTCGTGTACCTTCCGTACTCGACCTTTGCATCGAGCTCTGCCTTTAGAGTTTTTCCGAGTGAAACTACCCTTCTTTTATAGTTCACTTCGCGTTTACTACTGAAAGACTCACCGGATGACGTCTGTATCTGTCTGGTTGCGACGACTTCTCCACGCCTTCTTCGCGCACCGCTCGTTCCCGTTCTGAGACTCGTACCTTTTTTTTATAGCTACTTTCGACTTTAGGTCTTTACTGTCCTCCATTCTCTTATTAACCAAATTTTTGTTTGCGACACCGAGCAATACCCGGGGTTTTCCTCCGACTTGCGACGTTAGGCCTTCCGTCTGTTGCCGAACACTATTACGACGACTTTGTAGACACTAGACCGTCGAGTTAGCCCTCACCAATACTCACCGTAACCAAAAGTACCTCTTGCGACCAGTTCCTTCCGATCATTGGTTCGGTTCGTAGAACCTTGACACTTAATGTCTCTCGACTTTTTTCGTTAGGTTTTCCGTCTCGCAGTTTCTGAGGTTTCTGTTACTTCATTCGTGGTCCGAAAAAGAACTTCTCCCTACGTTTCAAAAGGAACGTTTGTTTCCTTAAGTCTCCTTCTTTTCTCACCGTAAGACGGACTGAAATCGCCGACGAAGTAGTTGGGGTGTACGTCCGTTTGTGGTGCGCGGAACCACTCTTTAATTTCGTTAAACAGGACGGGTTTTTTACAGTACCGATATTTCTCTCTAAAGGTGCTCTACCTTCTCTCTGACCCTCTGGCCGGGACGTTTTCTCGTCCCTCTGCGTGTCCCGAGCTCACTTCAGCTTTTTCTAAGTCGAAAAACCTCGTCGTACCTACCTCTTTTAGAGTTCTTTGGGAGTCTCGAAAGTTCGGGTATGTTGTGTCGTCTTTTGTAGAAAATCTCACGCGACTTTTTTATGGCTATACCCTTATTCAGATGTTAACGTTATCTTTATTAACTTTCTAGAACTCTTTAGGTCGTTCTCAGGTAGCTGAATTAGGTTTCGACACTCTTTCGTGACCGGCTCTGAATGTCTGCGACACCTTGCTGTCTACGCGTAGTTCTTGGGTGACCATGATTCCAGGCGTATCTCTCGTTCTGGGAGCCGGCCTAGGACATTTCTTCCAACCGAGCAGAAGTACCATGTTACGGGTCTTTATCTCAGTGGGGACTCTTTGGTAAAAGCTGTTCAGAGGAGGCTCAAAGACTTTCTGTGTTCCGTCTGTCTAGAACCTTTTTGACCTCGTCGAACCTCATTGACTTTTCAGTCTCTTTGGACTTTCCTTCAAACTTTCTTTTATACCGGCAGTTGTGCAAGGTTGGTCCTCTTCTTTTCCTGCAAACATAACAGACACCTCTTCATCCGTACTTCTCTTTGATAAGCAAAAAAAAAGAAAAAAAAAAAAAAAAAAAAAAAAAAAAAAAAAAAAAAAAAAAAAAAAAAAAAAAAAAAAAAAAAAAAAAAAAAAAAAAAAAAAAAAAAAAAAAAAAAAAAAAAAAAGAAAAAAAAAAAAAAAAAAAAAAAAAAAAAAAAAAAAAAAAAAAAAAAAAAAACAAAAAAAAAAAAAAAAAAAAAAAAAAAAAAAAAAAAAAGAGAAAAAAAAAAAAAAAAAAAAAAAAAAAAAAAAAACAAAAAAAAAAAAAAAAAAAAAAAAAAAAAAAAAAAAAAAAGAAAAAAAAAAAAAAAAAAAAAAAAAAAAAAAAAAAAAAAAAAAAAAAAAAAAAAAAAAAAAAAAAAAAAAAAAAAAAAAAAAAAAAAAAAAAAAAAAAAAAAAAAAAAAAAAAAAAAAAAAAAAAACGTTTCCGTCAAAGTTCTTCGGATTTAGGACCAAACTTTTCAATCTACGACACTTCTCTAACCCTCGAAGATTTCTCCACAAACTCTACAGTACTTTCTTCCTGTACTTACACATTTGGGATTGAAAACGTCCTTTTTCTCTTACGTTCTTCCCCTCGAGAAGTCTCGGTGGGTGAAAAAGGAGGACAGGATTTCCTCTCTTGCACTTTATCTGTTTCCACCCTGTTTGAACTCTTTTCTTGGGTTTGAGTGTCTTCTCGTTCACCTTAAATTAACGACTTGAGAGAGGGCTTTACCCCGTCTTTTTACCGTTTTGCGAAATGGTTATTACTGACGCTATTGTTTGACTACTTTTACTTGTTCCTCGCCAGACACGACTTACCTTCCTTTATCTGTACCCGGCTCTACGGTCAATAGTACTACGAACGACCTTCAATGACGTTTAAGTCCCACGCTTTCAGCTTGGGACTAATCTAAATCACAGCTCTGTGGTGATGGTACTGGGTGTCTCGGGCGGTTGGCCTAAATTTGCGACCTTTCACTTGTATGGTAGTAACCAACAGTAAGTGGCTCAACCTCCTTACTGTTACGTCCCACTTCGCCGTGCTTCTATAAGAAGAGTCAATTATCAGTTCTGTGGAGTAGTACATGTTTCTCTTTCGGCGTGATTGAACAAACAATACCGGAGTTACTTTATCGGTTGCACGTTTCTCAGTAGCTTGGACTTGTCGCACTTCATCAAAGAAAGGTCCTCGGTTTTGAACTCCTAAGATATTTCTTTGCGTCTTTGAAACTCGATGAATAGGTCCGTGGCGGCTCTTCTATCTGATCCAGGGTGTCTCCCACTTCTAACAGCCTCTGGAGCAACACACCTGTCGGGTGACCCATTGTTTGACACGACCTCGAGTGGACTAGGGAAACTCCTTCACCTCTACTGTTGTGTATGTCAGACTGTTGTGGAAGCGAACCCGAGGTACGCATACCCGCCGTCACTTTATGTTCCTTTAGTAGCTCGGACTTCTCTAAGTCCGACTTTTGTTTTTCGCCGCGACAACTGCCCTCTCAAAGACCTAACCACCTTCCCTGTCAAAACTGCCGTCGACACTTGGTTTTACGACTCCTACAGCTACACCCAGTAACAGTCGGACCCTTTCCTTTACTGTAACTTCCTTTTTCTGACCTTATTATTTTGTTCCGGAATGGATACAATGTCGACTACGGGTGTCATACACGAGGTGTGACCTATTTGTTTCATGGGAACCTAGCTCCTGGGTTAGAGATAAGGCGGTTGTTGTCCGACGTCACCTTCATTGAAAGACTCCTGTTCTTTTGTTGAGTTCTCCCTCGGTTAAAACCGTCTCAGACCTGACAACTCCTAACGCACCACCTAAGGTTCACCTGGATTTGTACAGACTGTAGTATTGTTCTCCCTCGCTGGGACGACTAGAGTTCTCCCTAGACTCACCGTCTTTCCTGGAAGGAAGACTTTTTACGGTCACCTCCTCACCGGTTTCTTCAGTCGGTTCCTCCCAACGCGTTTTTACGTTTTCTCCCGTCTAGTTATTATTAGGTTCTTTTGTAAGTGTCGTCGGTGAGTGGTCTCGATTACGAGTCCGTTTTCTCTTCGGTAGGACTACCATTTATTGGACATTGGGAATATTTTGGTGGAGACTACTCTTTCTTCTGAGGTTATTGGGCTTCTTATGGTCCGACCGAGTTCAATATCCTGTTTATGCCGGTTCTGAAAAACTTATGTGTTGACACCTGGAACAAACCTGGTATTACTTCCACTTTCTGGGGGTTCACTCCTTCTTTCATTCCGAACTTTCATACCCCGGTAAACAAGAGTACAGGATTCTTGTAATATCCAC